GGCCCCGGCTGCGTCAGAGATGTGTAAACACCGCCGCGGTGCCCGCCGCTATTTAAGGGGCCGGGGCTGAATCTCCCCTGACTTCCCTGCCTGGGCACACACGGGACTCGCTACTCCCAACTCGAGTCGGACCTTGGGAAACCGCAGCGGAAAGGTAGGGAGCGCTTGTCACTCTCCTCTGACGGCACCACTGCTGGGTTGGGGGGAGGGAGGCAAAGGAAAGGGGGATGCCTGGCACCTACCTGTGCGGCGGTTCTGAGGGCATCCCGCTGTTTGTCGGGCAAAAAGCACCGGGTCCGCCGGGGAAAGAGTGATTCCGGACGCTCCCGACGGGCGCGGTCCCCAGCGCGGGGCGCGGGATGCGGGGAGAGGTGGTCTGGTCGGCGGTGGGCTCCCCACCGGGCAGGCTGGGAAGGGTGACAGCCAGCGGTGGTGAGTTGTTGGCTTTGGAGTCGATAGCATGGACATGAATACATGTGTGTGTGTGTGTATGTGTGTGTGTATGTATGTAAAAAATACAGGAATCAGGGAGGTTGAAAGGATGCAGCTCACCTTCCGTTTCTAAGTACCTAGCCTAGATGGGTACATCACTAATAACCACGCCGGGGTGATCTTATGAGCTTCTTCATTCATATCCTAACAATACTTTAAAACTGCCATGTTTTATACATCACAAATGTTTTCAATCTAGTGTATGTGTTGAGCAAATAAACCTAATTTTATCCCCTTTTAAAATTAAAATGTTAGGTTCAGTGTACTGTTAAAGCACTTAAATGATTCAAAAATTTTCATATAGCTGGGATATTTCATGTGTATTTACAAATGGAAATGACCCCCATAGCATTAGTTTGTTTCTCCTAATAACTGGGAGTAATTTCTCTGTTTCCAGAAAAAATACTATTTCAGCTTATGTGATAAAACAATTTAGTAAACCAACATTGTTTTGCTTCGTACATGTTAAAATCTGAATTCTCTGTTTTATATGAAGAAGATTAACAAGTTGCATTTTATTTTTTATGGCTTTTAACTAAACACCTTTTACCACCTCAGCTATTAGATCAAATGCTTCGGGGCAGGGGTGTTAGATTTTGCTTTTTCTTTCCTTGGGACAAGTTTTTGTTTTTACTTTTTGTTTATGATGAGATGAAACCTCTTGAACACTGAAGTTCAACTCAGTGAAGGTTGGTAGAATATAGGCTCTTCATAGGACTTGTCAAAACTGAGTACCTGTAATAAGAGCAGGTTTTAGTACAATGGCAAAATACCGAAATGTTTGAACCCTGAGATGTTTTTTCACAGAGATGGATTCATCTCACTTAAGTTTTTATGAAATACAACTTCCAAAAAATAAAAGCAAATAAGAATTGAGTAGACTAGGGAGACATAGCACACACCACACCAGAAGAAACAAAATTAATTAATTAACTGTATCTTCCTCTTATCAACGGATATTTAGCTATTTATGTGTTTTGCAACTTAAGACAGATCCCACAGCTAGCTACATTAAAAAAAGCCCAACACAACCCCGATTTGCTCAGAAACCAGCACCCCCAACAGCAGAAGAGGTTAGGGACAGCATACAACATAGTACATCTGGTTGTTTTAATAACCTTTTGTTCCCTTCCTCCCCAGCGATGTACGGCGGTATTTGCATCTGTGTGTTCCTGGCTGTGCTCTCGGTGAGCTGTTTCGGACAGCAAGCCGTGGGCTCGCACAACGGGAATCCACTGGCTGCTGAGCTTGAGCAGAGCTTGACAGAACATCACCGGCACATCCGCGCCCCTTCGTCCACCGGGCCGCTGAAATCCATGGCACGGCTGGATGGAAGCATCGACCAAAGAGCCAACATCGGCGCCTTGCTGGCCAAGTATCTCCAGCAAGCCAGAAAAGGTACTGGGTATAGCCTGCTCACTGTGCTACTTCTGTGTCGGTGGCATTTCCTGCAGGGACACCTAGGTGCTAAGACAACCCCCTCATCATCTAACATGATTCCTAGAGAAGAAAGGACTTAGATTTTGCCTGATTATTCCTGAAGTAGAGAGCTTTCCTTTATTTACTGCAAAACTCCTCCAAAAAAAAAATTATTTGTACATAGCAGCCACTGACAGTGTCATGTACAGGTAACTGAGGAAGATGTCATCTACCTGTCAGGCTATAGTCCAGCTTTTATTTTTAACTACTATTTTCATAGTCTTATTATTTTGTTGGTATTTTCAGTATGTTATATCTCAGATAAAATACAGTAATTACATTTTCTTCAAACTTTTTCATTTAGCTAAACTCCTTTCTCCCCTTTTTAAATTTAGAAGAGCAGGAAAACTTTACTGAGCGTAAATACAGACCAAATAACTAGCCTCACCTCAACCAGAAATACCTGTACCAGGGAAATCTTCTGAGTATTGGATTTTTCATATATTTGTTCCCAGAGGAAATTACAAAAGTGTGAAAGCTTTTGAAACATCAAAATTCATGTTTATGAGTGCAATAACTAAAAGCAGTGATAAGTAAAAGCACATTTCCTTCAAAACATGTCAATTGCTGATAGGGTTTTGGTCTCAGGCAGCCTGGGAATGCAATTTTGCAGTTACTTAAAACCTCCATGGCACTGTGTAACAAGGACATGAAGCACCAGTAGAGCAATGGTATTAAAGGGCTTAATTCTTATAATGAGATTTATTAATTACTTGAGGAAACAATTGTATTACATTGGAGAAAGAGTAAAGCTGCCCCTGCTGACATCTTGTAGTGTATATTTTATACAAGCAGAAACACGTGCCATCTGTGCTACCAGTAAAAATGAGGGCTCAAAATCATTGACCACTGAAACTTGCCCAAGAAAACATTTTTCCTTTTGAACTGGCTCATCTCTGTATTGCTTTGTATCTCAACAGAGTTACACTATGGGCAGTTTGACTACCAAGCTCAACAAAAGCCACTACACAAATTTTGTTTACTTGTGGAAGTTTCACTCCAGTCTGTCCCTTGTACTACAGGGAAAGAGGGCATCTAAGAAGGAAGGAGGACTTCAAGAGAAGCCAGTAATTAGGATTACCTGGACATACAGACATTGAGAAATTAATTCACTCCCAGCCCTAAACTGTGCTTAGGATAAAGTTCACTTTATATAAGGAAGAGCTTTCTCTGCTCCTGCGTCTCCACACAATGCAGATCATTTAACCCTTGCCTCTTGATAGCTTCATTGCTGACCTCTATGCTAGGCAAAGCCCTATGCTTATCTTTGGTGGTCTGCAATTAAGAGATGCTATGTGCATTTTTATGCATTACATATGCAGCCATACACACTCATCTGTGTACCCAGAACAGAGACATGTTACAAACAACAGAAGAAGAATAATTTTCAATGGAGCCTGAGAGATTTCATCTTATGTTAGCAATTTGCACAATATCCATTAAGGAACTTCTTTTAGCAGTTCATACAATTTAAAGGAAAGAGAATTCAGATATGAAATTCGTTAATTGAGTGCTACTCTTAAAGCTGTTATTGAATAAGGATGTTATTGCAGGAGTCTACAAAGCAGAATCCTTGTTACCTTTCCCCAGTTTAGTCATTGTTGCCCACCTACATGGAAACAGAACACTTTGTTCTAGTTTGTGTATCCATTATATACTCTTAAGTACCTGGCTGACATTTCCAAACAGTTTAACCAGATGAAGTGGAAAAAAATCCCTTTGGATTTAAGATGTCTTTTTGATAAGTATTAATACGAAGGAGAATTTTCTAAATATGTGTTATTGACATATATAATTAACTCTACGAAGTGTCTGCTAGCAGATGATGGAATCCTTGTGATGTGACTAGGCCAGCTGGACTCTGGTTTGTAGATGTTGCTCATTAGAGAAGATTCAGAGGGACAAAAACTATTTACTTAATTTATAACGATGTATACAGTGTTCCCATTGGAGCATTATATGCTCATTTAACATGAAGATTCTGGGCAGCACTTCAGAAATATCTGCAGAACACTCTGTATTAGTCACTTCTAACCTGTCTAAACCATAACACTCAGTAGAAAATTCCATTTAGGGGGAAAGAGAGTCTGGGCTTTTGCTAGTGTTACCAGACACCAGAGGTGGCATTTGCCCTTGTGATTAATAGAAATGCTGATTGTTTACAGCATTTCCAGGTAAAATGGTGAGAGAGTTCAGTTCTCTGAAAGAGTTAGGGCTTGATGGCAGCCTCGTAGGTGAGCTGCTACAATTTTTGAATATGTTTGCTGTACACTGATTCTGCAGTACCCACAGGAAATCTCCGGTGGTCTGAGAAAAGGTAATTAAGGTGCTGGTAAGAAATAAACACTGTTTGTGACTCAAAGTTTCAGTTATATTCCTCTGCAGGCTTTCAGCATGAATCTGGCATGAGAGATGGTGTAGCTATCTAGTCAGCAACATGCACATTTACTATTGTCTAAGGAGCCCTTGCTAGAGCAGAGCATAATGGCACCAGGGGAGCCTTTACAGCCCACAGGTCACGGCACAGGCTCAGATGTCTCTTAAGCACCAACATCTGAGCGATGGTTCTGTGCTGTCTTAGCCCTGACTGGTTATAATGTTAAGGAGCCATTAACTTAATTACATTTTTTTGAATTATGAATGTGAATTTCTAGGGTTTTTGAGCATTTAATGGTAGACATTCTTTTCTAGAGATAATTAAATTTGTTGTACTTTTGTTCTAGGTAAATGTCCTACACACGGCGCTTTTTCTGTTGTTTTTGTACCTTCAGCTCTCCTATCGCTCTACAAACCCTAACAAAACAATGCAGTTGCTTTATGTTTTAGTGAGTCATGTTCATTATAAATCACTACGTGAGGAAGACCTTGAAATATAAAAGCACAGAGTCCCCAGGGTTTCTTCAAAACACAAGAAACTGTAAGCAAGGGAATTGTGTAGATTTGGATCTGTGGGATTTTATTTGGGCTTCTTTTCCTTTTCAGTTCAAGTATTCCCCAAGCCTCAGTCTGCACTGAGTATATTGAATCTGTTCCTCACTCAAGGCTTAATATAATCTAATTATTGGCATGTGTCAATTTTATCTGTTTTCAGGGAGTACAGACAGAAGTAATTTACCTTTCCCTGCATTTTTTAGTTACATCACATAATGATGTGAAAATAGAGGATTGTAGCCCTTTTTTTAAAGCATAAATTCTACTTGCAAATAATTTCTCTTTGATGCCTTAAGCAAGGAAGACAGAAAGGATAAGGCAAGATCATAGATCAGCATCTGACCTTGCTGTGAACAGAATTATGAAGGATTTGGATAAGCTGTTAAAAAATCACCGACATAGTAATAAGCTCTGTATTATTCCAGCAATAGGTATCTTTAGCCAGAAATTCCAGATACAATTTTCTCCATTTTAAAACTATTCTCACTTCTCCACAAAACCTGGGATTGATAACTTTACCCTGCTTGTTACTGAACTTGCACTGTACTTACATCTATATCTCTTTAAGCAATGTGGGACTGTGGTGTCTCAGGCTTCAGCCTGCTCTCAAGAAGAGGGTTATTTTGCATCTAGATCAACTCTCCCAATACCAGCAAGCAAGCATAGAGCCTTATAAGGAAGAGTGCAAAATGGTTTGGGCTCTCTAGTGAAAAAGGAAGGAAAAAGGAATAATGCATCCATACTCCTTCCTGGCAGACAGTAGCAGAATGCTTCTGCAGCAGGAAGGAGAAAATGATCTGTTTATTTTGCAATAAAAAAATCCAAGCCACTTTAAGGACCTTACCAGTAATATTTCTCTTGATGTTTTCCCCAATGACACAATACAGACCATGTAATATAACTGTTATATCCAAGAGTTTCCATTATTGCAGACATCTGAGTACAAAACAGATCAGAAAATGGGTGAACTTGGATAATATGTCCACTCACTCTCTGCTCTCCCAAACATTTTTTCTTAAGGCTCCACTGGAAGACTCTCAGTTATGGGAAACAGGGTACAGAGCATTGATCCTACTCACAGGATAAATGACAGAGACTACATGGGCTGGATGGATTTTGGACGCCGCAGTGCTGAAGAATACGAGTACTCTTCCTGAAGAACAGCAAACTATAGTAACAGAAAATCACACTCCCATGTCTGTACAGAAAGAGAGAAATCAATTTGTTGTCCTCTTCAAATCAGTGTTTTAAAATATTTAAAATCATGTATCTGATGTAAATTTTTCTGTAAGACTATTCAATGCAATATATACATATGCAGAATTTTCCAGAAAATGTTTCCTTTCTTTTGTGGTTTCTCATACATTGATACTATATTAAAATGATTTCACTTATCCCTTCTTGTCCTGTCACTGCATGTTGCTGGTGTCTTATTATAAAGAGAGGCAGGAAAATGCCTTCATTCTGCAATGTAAATATATTCCATGTGTTGAGTAGTCACACATTATCCCTTTTTCAGAGAAATCTTGTGTCAGTCCCAGTAGCTTTGAACTCTAGGGAACTTGTTCAAATATAAACACAGCAGCACAGTACTGCCAGAAGATACCAGCTAAATTCATGGCAACCCCATTTGAAAAGGACTGAGTTACACACTGGCCCACATGTTTGTAGTGAATAGCCAACAGTGCTGAAACTAAAAGAAAAAGAGGAATGACACCAACATGTTTCATCTTCTTGGCTTATCTATTTTCTATTGTGAACTCAATGTGAAAGTTCTGCTGATGGCTGCGAATCACAGAATAAACAGACCATTTTCTGCTGTGTGGTGAGCCAAGCATTCATTTGGGGAGAGGGTGAAGACAGGTCCCTGAACAGAGCAGGTGAACCTGAGGGGGAGGAGATACTGGAGCAGTCTAGTCACAGTATCCTGAAAGGAAAGAGGTAGCTCCCATCTATCACAGAGGCAGACTGAGTTGGCTGTTGCCCACCAATGTGAGGGGAAGGAAGGAGGTTGTGCTCAGCCCTTAACGGGCACAAAGCAGGGCATAGAGCCCCACGTTCACAGCTAGGAAGTGATCCCTGCTTGTGGAAAACCAGCGCCCTGCTGTTCCTGCAGTCTTTCCTGCCTGCCTGTGGGAGGCTGCATCAAGTGTTTTACCTGCACTCTCCTCCTCAACCACAGGTAAGCAACCTCTCCTGCAGCTCCTGGGTCTTCTTCAGCAGCTGGATCTCACATCTAAAAGTTGACCAAGGGAATAATTGAATAATAATTGAATAATAATAATAATTGAATAATTTAATAATAGAATGGCTTTGGTTGGAAGGTACTTTTAAAGGTCATCTAGTCCAAATTCACTGCAGTGAGCAAAGATGTCTTCAACTAGATCAGGTTGCTCAGAGCCTGTTCCAACCTGGCCTTCAATGTTCCCAGGGGTGGGTCATCTACCACCTCTCTGGGCAACCTGTGCCAGTGTTTTACCACTCTCATTGTAAAAAACTTCTTCCTTATGTCTACATAAAGGGACTTGCAGTGACTCACCTGGCATCCAAATGGGGACTGAAAACATACGTTCTTAATTCTGCCAGAGCCCCTCTTTACCACCTAATACCAAGCTCAGGACTAACATGGTTTTTCAGGTACTGCTAAGATACAAACTCGTACCTGCAGGTGACATCTCACAGGAGTGAGTGTTAAGAAATAAGAAGTTTTGGGGAAATTGCAGCAATTATCAAGAGGCACAGTGGCTCCAGGATCTTGAAGATAAGGGGGAGGTGGCTATTAGCGGTTCAGCAACATCATCCTCATCCTAAAAACATCTGTCACCTGCTCCTCTGAGAGGAGAGAAATTCCCCAGGTGAGAGAGGGTTTTAAAGCCTGCTGAGACACCACTCAGGTTCCAGGTGACCTGGGGGTGCTAACTGGAGCTAAACAGAGGGGGCAGCAAATCTGGCAAATTCAAGCAGCCCTGTTAGCTGCAATGCTCATCCCAGGCCCTTAGTGAAGCTACTCTCCAGATTGCCCTGTTTTAACACAAGGGAAATGGCAGCTTTAGGGATGGAGGCCCTGTAGCTGGGTAGGAGCTCCTTGTGTCCAGCAACAGCTTTGGGCTGAGAAGTGCCCCTCAGATTTCAGCACACACAGCAGCGCGTTGGCACAACCTCCTGGTGCTCATCTGGGTGGTGAGATTCCTGGCACTGCCAACTCTCTGACATTTAATTTAGCTTTGCTCAAATTCATCCTTATGAAAGCATGTGCATATATGTGCTAAATTAACACTGGGAAAATAGCAAATCCATACCTTCTTGCATTTAAAGTCAGCTTATTTTCTCTGTGCACTTGATTCATTTAGTTCTGTTCCAGCTTTATTAACTTAATTTCAGAAGAGGTGCTGGGCAAATCTCCACGAACAGAGGAGCTTACTGCCAACCCCACATAAATGAGTGAAGAAGAGCTTGTGGCTCTGCTTTTGCAGAGTTGTGCATACACGAGAGCTGTGAAAAGAGGGCAGAAGCAGCAAGTGCTCTTGTGGAAATGAAGGGAAACCCATGTAAGAGAGGGAGCATCCATTCCCAGGGAAGGGGCAGTTCTCCCTCGGAGCTGGGAGGGATGTGTGCAAGGGATGCCAGTGCATCCTGAACAGTCTCATCTGACCTGGTATTTCATACAGGAACACATGTGGATTCTGCTTTGCTCTCCCCTGCTTTGCTGCATCCATCCTTGCTGTATGTTGGCCAGTGACACATTGCAGCCAGATGTTCCCAGCTGCAGCCCAGCTCTGCACATTCCAGTGAGCCAGAGAGCAAACCAGGCAGTCCCTCTCCAAGGCCTGAGAGGGGGAATTTACAAGTCAGACAAAATGAACATTTCAACATCCTAGAAGAGCAGCGAAAGGCTTCTCTCTGTGTTTGATTTTTGTATCCCCCAAGTTCACTAAAATTCTCTTAAAGAAAGAAATAAATCTGTCTGTGTGCTTGTTAAAACTTTAATAGTTTCTAAGTACCTGTGTCAATGTATTGACAATTGGATTCAGCACAGCTTGAAACCTATTTCAGCAGGACAAAAATCTCTGTAATCTTTTAAATACAAATGTTATTGGCTTCTTGAGCCATTCTCACATGAAAGCCCACTGCCTACATTACAGCTAAGGACATTGCTAAACACCGTTAACTTTCAGGCCTTTTATTATTTTTCTTACTATTCTGTGCTCTCAATTGGCTTGTTAACTGAATTAAAGCAGGCCAGAACAGCACCCAGCAAGATGCCACAGCACAGCTGAACAAGGCTTCAACATGAACACGAGCTATAGGCAGCAGATCGATCCTGTTTGTACCAAAGGAAAGCAGGACACATCTCACTGACGTTGGACTTTTCAATTCAATGAGAGCTGCCAACAAACGTGTTCTGGAAGTTGGGAGGAACTCTTAAACCTCTGTGCAGAACAGATTATGTTGTGGGGTCATCCAGTGCTTTGGACACATGCAAAAGGAAGGGGAAAAGAGACTCAAAAGGCTGAAATACCAGTCTTGTCTCTCCAAAGAACATCCTGTGTGTCCACAAAGGCTGAAATACCAGTCTTGTCTCTCCAAAGAACATCCTGTGTGTCCACAACCCAGTCTTAAGACACACAGTCCTCAGCACCTCACCCTGCCCTCACCTCCAACCCAGCTTTGAGAGGTGGATGACCACATTCCTTGCAGTAGTAAGGTGAAGATACATCCAGAAATGTTTCTGAGATACTTGGATATTGCAAGGATGGAGGACTATTTCACAGCAGAGGCACCAATTTATCAGCCATTTGGCTTTCCAAGGTTTAGTTTATGCAGTTGTTCTGTTCTGCTTTGAAATTGGCCAAGTACATTAAACACATTGGCTGAGTTTCCAGATAGCTCATGCTGCCTTAGCTACCCTGTGGTGTAAATTACTATCCTGAAGGAGAAACTAATAGACTCCCCAAATATTAGCATTGTTTCCAGAAACAGAAACTGTTCTTCTTCCAAAATCCACTGAAATCTCTAGGGTGAAACATGTCAGAGAGAATAGTCCTGCCCTCCAAGAGACTTCCTATCCAGTTGCTCCTTTTGTACCTTCAGGAGTTTTACCTGACAGTTTTGATTCCCCTTGACCTCAGAGGGCTGCACTTATTCCCTCTTTAGTTTGCCTTTGGCCTTCTTTGTTCTATCAGTTTTCCTTTCTCAGGAGCACAACCTTGAAGCCCAGTTCTTCTGTAGGGCCTTCAGTGATACTAAACCTCTGAATTTTCATGGTTGTTTAAACCCAGCTTTCCTTAGAGCTCCAGACCTTTGGGAAAGCTGAGTTTATAATTCACCTTCAGAGACATGACAGCCTGAAAATTGCTAAATCCACATGCATTCACTTATTAAACACCATTGCTGTTCACTTACCTGGCACAGAAGATGCATATCTCCAAACACAGCATTACATGCATCCTTCTGGATACTTTTTTATAAGTCATAAAATTACAGTATTACAATGAATTTGTTTAAGCCCTGAAAGAACATTTGAAAGCATTTATACAACCAACAGCTGTCTCTAGAAACTGGTGCAGGAGTTGGGTTTCTGCAGGGCTCCCCAGCACAGCAGCAGCCAGGCTGACATAGAACCATACCAGGAAATGCATTTTGCTCAGCTTAATTTTCATCACTTGTACTACTGTCTTCCACACCTTCTTGGGGGCAATCAGATAATTTTACCTTCCCATTTTCTGTTGCACATTCATTTCCTTTGCCATTCCCAGCTCATACCCCACTGTCACTTGTTCCCTGATCGCATCATCAACGAGCTCAGGGTTTGAGCTTCTGACCAAGGCAACAACTGGAGGGATCCAGGAATTGGACTTGCACGGCTGCATCTTCACTCCCAAGGGCCCAGGAAGGTACCGTGAGGCTATAAGCATCTGACTTTGTTCACTGTAATATCCAGATAAAACACATAAGCTTGTAAAAAAAGGATTTATCTTGTCTGAATTACTCTTCAAAATCTTATTTTTTAGCTATAATAGGAGAAAATATCTTCCTCGTAATGCTCATAGCTTAATACTACAGCTTTGCAATAAGAGACACGCAGGCAGAACTTATTGCAAAGCACTCCAATTTAGGTGGGAGTCCTTCTATGGTTGTATCTCTGCCTGAGAATACTTGCTTTTTAAAGGGGGCAGGACAGATCCGGTCCAAGTGGTCCAAACAATATCCTGATACAGTATAGCCTGGAGAAAGACTTTTTACAGAGAACTGGAGAGGGACTTTTACAAAGGCATGTAGTGATAGGATAAGGACTAATGGCTTTAACCAAGAGTAGGTTTAGATTAGATACTAGGAAAAAATTCTTTACTGTAAGGGTGATGAGGCACTGGCACAGACAAGCTTTGGATGTCCCATCCTTGGAAATGTT